CCTGTTCATACAGACAAGTGAGAGTAAGCCCTTCCAGCCTGTGCAGTGGATTTTTTTAGGTGAGGTGCAGCATGTGCAGAGCTGGCCCCACCCTTTACATCTGAGGTTTAACTGCCACGGCCTAGTTAGCTAGAACGGTGACAGCTGGTATTGCCAATATTACTGTGCTATCTGTAGTATGTTTTTAGCGCTACCCACTACCTGTGTCAGCACTGTGAATTTTGCTCAGGTGGTGTAATAGAAAAGAGGAAGAGACATTAAGACTGGTCTGATTTATGTTAACATACTGCCATTACTTTCCCTTTTTCATTTCTTGTTCTATATCACTGCTTTTCAATTAATAAAATAGATATAATCAGGATACAGAAAAAAGCCTGAAGATATTTTTATGTATCATCTTTTCAGAAACACTTATTTCCAGCTCTGAGCTTTCTGGAACATGTTGTCTTCACATATTCAGTAACATGAGAGTGAGAGAGTGCAGAGCCTTTTTTTTTTTTAACTTCAATATTTTTTCTTTCAGGAAAATATAAAATGAAACCTAGGCAGTATGGAGCTGTGACTCATAACTCACTTGCAGGTGTATGGTACCTTTAGAAGTAGGACAATTAGTACTGTGTGTGACTAATAAATAAGAGTGTGAATTAAATGAGAAGGGAAACAACTTATAAATGTAGCATATACTGCTACACTTAGCTTTGTGCTTTTAGTCTCCACAAGAATTATCCCCCCCCCCCCTTTTTTCAAGGAATGTGTAATCCTGTATAGTGAAATGTCCGAATATTCCAATATGCCCACTCTATCCAAATCGCTTTAAATGGCTGAATTAAGTACGTTGTTATGCTCCTCTGATGCTCCAAATATTTATGTTCCTATCATAGAAGCAACTGGGTTAGAAAAGGCCTTTAAGATCATTAAGTCCAACAGGACTGCCAAGTCCACCACTAAAATAAAAAATACTCCATCTCTCAAGAGGAAGCATTCAGAGAAGAGTTTCCTGAACCACAAGGACAAGGTTTCCTAGCTCTGACATTTCACTTGGCTGAAATAACAAGAGAGGAGACACTGACATCTGTGCTTGTGGGTAGAGTCAGTGCTTTCTGGTTTCTAGGCCACTGACAGCTGTGCATGTGCATTTCCAAGCCTGGCCTAACATGCCCTGCCTTTCAGTGGGAAAAGTTTAAACCACAGCACAACTTCTGAGGACAGAGATGGTGGTTGTTACATGGTTGCAAAGCAACATGTAGATGTACTTGTTAGATATTACGGACAAGTTGGGCATTGTATCACTGTGGAGGGAGCCTAATTCTATAGAATCTGCTTTATGAGGATGGGTTTACCACAGTGCCAGACAAAAAATTGAATTGCCCAGCTTTTATTTCCCATTTCTAGCTGTTTGAAACCACTATTGATATCCAGCCTATTTCCTGAAGGTGCTAGGAACTTAGAGCTGGGAAGAGCAGCCTCCATTCTGGCTTGGATGCATGAAAGACTTTTCCCACTCCATCACAGCCTCTCTTTTTTTATAACTGTGGGAAATGAGGACAGATTTGAGTCACACTCTTTTGGGGCATTATTTCTATGCCTGGTTTTGGTTTTGCAACTGCCCACATGATTTACGGGGAGAGAATCTCATCTTTATGAGATGGACCCCTGTGGAGTGGATATGCTTCAAGGAAGATAATAAATTGTTTACATCCTTTCCTCTTGTACTCAAAGACTGTTAATTTTTATCCAGTGGGTTTCTATAGACAGAAAATTCTGATTTGCTCAGTAAATCAAGTCTCTCTACCTGAAAGCTGGCAGTTAAAACCAAGAAGTGATCATAGCTATGGCTACTAAAGCACTGCAGTGCAGGAGCCTGTTGTCTGACCTGGTGGGTCAGGTTAAAAAATGAAAACCTGGAGACTGTGAAATGAGGAGATCAGGTCAGGAAGCTGATGATTTATGCCAGTGTGTAAACTAGGCTGATAGGAGGTGTAACCCTAATTAAGAGCCCATATGTTGGTGGATCTCAAGGTGAGGTTAGTCACAGGTCACACAGGACATGGCGCAGGTTGAAGTCTTGGAAGCTTTATTATCCCAAACGGGAATTTGTTGAACTTCATAAGTTACATATTTCTGCATTCAGAGCTGATGATAACAAATGCTTTTCAGAGAAAAACCACCCTTTTTCTGGTCCTGTGTTCTTTTTATGTTACTGGGCATCTGCCAACTCTCCCACTCCCCTCCTACATGCTGTTTGCGGCAGCAGTGCTGGATGTTCTGTTTTTCTTCTCTAGCAGCTTCATAGTGCCTTTTGTATGTTTAGGGGGATGTTGCTCAGTCTCCATTTTTACCCAACAGATCTTGAAAATGTAATCTTCAGCCCGCTGTTTGCAAAAGGATTTATTTTCATTAAGATCTGTATACACAGGACAATGACACGCCATTTTCTACTTTCAGTAGGAAAATTGTTTTGGCTTAAAACAGAACACTGCTTTCCTGCAGGGACATTAGCTGTGTCAAGTATTAAGTGACGTATACTGGATGTTCTTCTCCCCCGACTGGGTATGTTCTTTCCAAAATAACCTATTGAAAGTTACTTTTTTTCTGTATGACGATAAAATATTTTTCTGTGTCTTTGAGATTATGGGGAAAATGTTTATGGGACATAATAATGGACTCATAGAACTGACCTGAAGGTCTTTGACAGTGATCTTCTGAAGAACATTCACAATTTCATTTGGTCTTACCAGTTGCTCAGTTCTGATGTTTTTCTCTTGTGTAGCATGGGTTGTGAAGTACATCAAGTCCTTTATTGACTTTTAAGTGAGTTTTCTGAAAGAATAATTGTGACCGAGCTGATGAGCCTGCATGTATCAAACATCAAAAGATAACAAATTGTTTACTCATCCTGACTCCTATAAATTCTCCTGTGTATCAAACCCTATTGTATGTGCCTCATATCATGATTTAAGTATTTAGAGACTTAAGGAAACCTTGAACCCTGATATAAGAAAATCCTGAGACCAGGATCGATAAACATGATGGCCTATAATTTGGTCTTATTTCCACATTTCCTGCTTAACATCCCACAGAATGGTACGGAAGCTGAATGCTTTCCCTCTGTATCAGGAAGGTAAAGTTCTAAATCACCAGCTGATCATTTCAGGTTTACAAAGGGATGCTACCTATGAGGTTTGTACAAGGTTAAGGGAGCAAGGCAAGCTACGGCCCTACTGAAGAATCCCATTTTCACCTTTATGTTATTCCTGTGACTGCCTCCACCTGCCTCACTTTGCAGGTGGCTGTTGCTGGAGCTCCTGCTTGTGTGTTAACTATTAGTTTTGTGTACCCTAGTTTTTCACAGATGGGCACAACTGCAAGAAAACCAGTCTGTGGATGTATGTAGGAGTTGGAAAAAGGGTTGGCTGGCATTCAGTACCCTGCTTCTTGAATGCCTTCTTCTAGGAGAGGAATATGTATTTGAATGAATGCACAGATCACTGGCTCAGAGGCAAAACAGATGCCTGTTTTATAGATGCCTTTACAGTGCTTTGTAGTTTGCATATACAAGTGAAAATCTGGGTTTTGAAATCTGTGAAATTCTCAAAGTGAAGACTTACAGTAAAACCAGAAGCCATCAATAATGACTATTTCCACCGTAATGATAAATGGTCTGTATTAACTGAAAACAACCAGTTTTGTGGGTGTAAAAATCATGTGGGTTGGGGGTTAGGCTTGGTCTATGACCTGTTGTCACATGAGGAGCTCACGGGATATCTGTTACTGATTTGGTGGTGCTGTGTTACAGCAAAATTCATAATGCTCAAGTTTAGTGGCTGTTCAGTCACATTCAGGCTGAAGTTGAGAATATGTTGCACAGGGAAACCTGGCTAAGAGAGTTGTTTCTTTGATTTGGTGATCATTAGTGATGATGTCGGTGAGCTCCCATATTCCTAGCTGCTCTGGGGTGGCTAAGCTGGGGATGCAGACTGCATTGAAGCTCTGCAGTCCTCCTCTCCCTCAGGATCTGCCTCGAAAGGGCCGAGTCAGTGGTGCTGGAGAGAGCTGAAATGTGATCAGAGGTCTGCTGGGAACTGGCTCAAAGGCTCCTTTTATCTACACCTGATGAATAAATGCTTGATACTTGAGAACAGTTACCCAGGGAGGTGGGAGTAGAGCTTTTTAGCAATGAGGGAGTGTCAGACCGGTCTGTCTCTGCTATTAACGGTATAAATTAATATCCCAAACCCAAACAATATTTCGTGGTGAGAAAGGAGAGACCAATTAGCCATACATTGTTGCTCTATATTTTGGTCTCTTAGTCAACAGCTATAATAATTCCCCATCATCAATACAGGTTGTCTTAGGAAGTATCTGAAGGCATCTTTTGGCATTGAATAGTAATGACAGCGTGCTCCGCCTGTCTGCTTCCCGAGCAGCAGCCTCCCTCCTCGCTGCCTTTGGTTCTCCGCTTCATGCAGGTCTCCTGATGCAGCCTCACGTGGCTGCGTAGCGGCACAATGAGGACTTGAATATTGCCAATCTGTTTCCAGGCGGCTCTCTATGCTGCCTGCCTGCAGGTGAGCCGACGGGGGCTCCTCGCTCTGCACTCAGCAGCTTTTCAACCCCGTTTCCTATCGAAAGGGAAGATTCTGAGGAGGAAGAAGCAGGGAAGCGTATGCAGAGCTCCAGCACAGACAGTCGCAGCAGCAGCAAGTCAGTAAGTCAGACTGCACCATTTTCTTCTCACCCTGCATAAAGGCAATGTGAGAAGCTGCAGGCAGCTGCCCCCTCCCCGCCTGGCGGTGATGCTGAAGTAGAGCCTTCTTCCCAGTCAGAAGACGCAGCCTGCCTGAAGGAATCCCAGAAGACCTTCCCAGTTTGGTGATGTGTGTTTAAAGGCCGATTTTTCTTCTTTTGATTTTTTTTTTCCTCCCCATCTAAGCCTGAAGCTTTCCTTGCCTCACTGTGGCATCTAAGCTACGGTTGGTTTCAGGCTGCGAGTGTGAGGCTGCGAGCACTTTTCACGCTGCGTGTGTGGACCTTGCTCTCAGTGCTCCCGTGTCATGGGTGCTGCAAAGCCTGGAGCAGAGCTGTGACCTTTTCTGGGGTGCTGGAGGAGGAAGAGTGGATTAACACTGTGAAGTTCTGGCTTGCAGCCAGTGCTCTTGCAGAAAAAAATAAACCACCTGGATAGCCTGGTGTGGTGGAAACAGCTTCCTGGGAGCTGGTGTTTTCCTCTCCAAAATGGCTCACGCAGCTGCTTCCATTAAAAAAGTTCGAGAGTCTGAACTCGAAGAGAGGGAGAGAAACCTTGAGAAGGAAAGGAAAAGGCAGCGGAAAATCTCTAGGGCAGATCGGAAACACAAGGTATGAGGGGAGAAACATCCCCTTTATCTTTCCTTCCCCCCCCACCCCCCCTCCCCCGTGCAGCCCTTCCCAGGGGGTTCATTGCCATGTATAGTGCTCTCCCGTTCATTTTCCTCTTCATATGCTATTTCCCATTTGCATCCCCTCCCATCCCCTGCGGGCTTAGCCTTGCTGCAGCCCTGTGATTCAAGTGCTGTCAGTCATGGCAGCCCACAGCTATCCACAGACCATGCGAATAGGAATGGCCACAGGCGCAGTTTAGCACCTTCCCTTCATCCCCCCAAAAAGGGCTAGAGGTGCATGTCCTCATTGAGGAGTAAGGTCTTTCAAGCCTCCAGCTAGCCCAAAGAACTTGTTGTGGAGGGATGTGGCTGTATTTGTGCTTTGCAGCATGAAGGTGCCTTTCTGTACTTCACAGCAGCTTTTTTTCTCCATTTACCCTTTTTTTACTTTCACTTCCAACATTCCCAGCAGTGGGAAGTGCTGCATGTGAGCCCTGTCCTGTGGTGCTGGGTGTGATGGCTGATTCACTCTGCAGCTGGTACTGACCCTATGTGAGCAGCCGTGATTCAGTGCATTCACACTGCTGCTGCAGGTGTATTTTTCTAGCCAGGGCCTGAAACGCCAGTCTGCAATCTATTGGGTTTTGTGTCTGTTACTGGTGGCAGTCTGATGCTGTGAAGGCGTATCCATTTAGTTGTTTCAGCCTTTGGGGAGGTTTACTCCTAATTTATAATTAACTCTTCTTTCTGTGTTAAAACTGTGGAATGACATCTCTGATGGCCTCGTGGGGAGGGGAGGAGGGAAGAAGAGAATAATAGAATAATAAAAAAAATCAATACGAGATGCTTTATTTGCCAGCTCACTCTTTAGTTTCTAAGGATACAAATAATATACAGTAGTGGAGAAAATATTAAAAGCCCCAAAGACTCTGTTAAGGTTAGCTTTAGGGCTGTATTACATCGGGGGTGCCTGTGTTAATGCGTCCTCATTGCCATTTTTCTTCTGTCTCCAGAATCTCAAGATTGTGATGTGTATTAACTCATTCACTGACACCATGTTTGGATGCATTCTTTATGTTATTCTTCTGGAAGGGATCATCTCAAGAGGCATAATCTGTCCTTTTTCCTTTTCTGCTACATTGCATGCATACAGACATCTATCCGTAAAAAGGAAAAGAACAGAGTCCTGCAGCGTAACATTTGAATTTATAGGTCCTTTTGGCAAATCTCTAGGATTGAGAAGCCATCTGCTCCCTTGGCATACTTGGGAAATGTTGAATTAATTTTATATTAAATCTTGTGGATTTTCATATTCTAAATTGCATGACTTTATTAAAATTCCCAAGGCTGTGTGATACCTCTGGGACCTTTGGCTATGATCTTCATGACTTTTAAATGGCTCCCTTGGCAGGGTTTGTTAGGTTGCATTAGGATTCTCTCTGTCAAAACAAGGAAGTCATTTCTCATGTGCGCAGTGCTTGGGTGCTGGGGCAGAGTGGCTTGGGGCAGATTGGGATTACTGTTCTAATCTCCTAAATGGGGCACTGCGGCATAAGGTAGCTTTTCTGATTATGTTTTTGACTGAGAAACTCTCTGCAAAACAGCCCTTGTTTATTTTTTTAAAAAGAAGTATTTAATGTGTGGCTGTCCTTGCTGGAGGGGCTTTTTCATGTTTACCCAGCACTCATCTCAGTTACTTCATCACAGCAAGTTGTTGTTTTTCTTGATTTTAATGAATATGTTTGATTGAAATGTGTATTCTACTTTGATTGAAGCTAGATAGAATACTGCCCCTGCTGGTGTCTCTTTTCCTGGAGTGCTGCATATCCCTGACTGCAAGTAGACAGGCTCAGGCGGTGTTAGTGATCATGTATGGTGATGCAGGCTCCTAATCAGATTTTCCCATCTAGGGAACACCAGTAGCCTTTGCTTAGAAAACAGGGAGGGTGGGTGCCTCAGTGTTTGTGTTTCTTTGTTCTTAATATTCAGTAACAGCCTTGGCTCCTGTGTGCCTTTTACTGTGGCTGTACCTTGCTGTTACATAAACAAGGGCATGGCTGCACCCTAAACTTGCTTCCCCCATGGTACAGGGTGCAGATTAGGCCGAGCATCTGCCCTCTGCTTCTGCAGGAGAAATACACCAACATGAGGATGAGTTTATGTTTGCATGTAGACACTCTCATGCTGTGCAGAATGCAGATGTTAGAGCATGTTAGATATGTAACTCTGTATGCCTACACTGTGATATATACAAAATATATATGTTATATATAATATCTGTATTCAGAAATTTAGGTGAGATATACAGTACATACTTTTATATATATGTCACTTGAATTGCAGCAGAAAAATCAATTGTTCTACTGCAAAACGTGACTGTCTCCTAGTAGGTGCAGAGCCCTCTCAGTTTTTTTGGGATTTCCTTGGAAAATGGAGGCTATGAGCAAATGGTATGTGCAGGCCCATAAAATATGAAATGTCTATGATTTTCTTTTTAATTGCTCTTGGCACTTAAACTCTTTCAGCATATGGGGCATATGGTCCCAGCTTTGTGTTTCATTTAAAAGCTGTTGCATTGCAGTGTCTGGGTTTTCAGCACAGCAGAGATCCATTTTGTTTGTAGGAACAGTAGTGAGGGGGGAATATGCTGACATAAGGTATTGTGAGCTGTCTTTTCAAACTTCATTTGGATTCAAGCTATGTACGGATACACACTGTATACATGGAGTGCTGATTCGGCCTTGGGATGGAAACTTTTCCTTTGACTCTGGAACATCTTGATTATGCAAAAGAGGATAACGAAGGGCCATGACTTTAGCTCTTACATTCTGCCAGCATGTTGGGCATCTATTTGTACTGTCCCATGCTTCTGCTATCTTCCAGGGGTGCTGCATGCTGTGGGATTAGTGTGGCTTTGCCTCTTCTCTTGAGTATTTTGCTTTATGATACTTTGCAGTGTGATCATCATCTGTCTTGATAGCAGCATTACAAAGGCTGTAGCTTCTGTGCTTCTCAGGTAGGACCATAATGTTCTTAGATGTCATCATGTCTGGACATTGCTCTGGACAATAACAATTCCCTGGCTATTAGAAGAGCTGGGAAAAGGGCCAGCATCAGTAGCAGTCTTCCCCAGATAATGTCATTGCAGTCCTTCAACATCTGTAGTTCTCTAAAGATGAACAGATATATTCCACAGCCCAAAATTGGGAAAAGGTATTTGCAAGGCTGAAGACAAATTTCAAGACCTTCTCTTGTGTTCTTTCCAAGACGGAGTTGATTGATTTTTTTTTTACTTTTTTTTTTTTTTTAATCTGGTTGAGAAGTTATCTCTGCTCATCTTGCATTCATATGAGAAATTTTCACATTTGTGCATGCAGTCTTTTCTTGCAAAGTTGAGAACCACATACTGATGCAAATACAAAAAACCCAATGGTCTGAATAGTTGCATGGATACCTGAATGTCTCAGGCGTATTAAAGCCAGGTGCTAACACAGAAGATGAGTGGCTTAAAATACATAGATTTTATTGAAATTTAGGCATGACAAATTCCTTTATACCTAAGTTCAGGGTATGTAAGCCCCAGCCCCACTTGCCACATTATCTTTCAAGATAGCTGAATATGGCTCATATTTTGCAAAGTGAGGAAAGGGAGACAGCTTGATTATGTGATGGTCACTCACTGAGTCAGTAGCAAAGCTGGAATTACAGCCTTGGGATCTGGCGTCCTAGCCCCTGGCAGAGTGTAACACATGCTTGCTTTTCCCTGTCTAAAATACTTCCTAAAAGAGCTTCCTAGCTTTGCATGTGACAAGTGTTTAAAAGGTTTTAGAAAACCCACAAAAAATAAAATCCCCAAACAAAAAAGCTGTTATCAAAACTTGATTTTACTGCCAAATAAAACCCATTATTGAATGTATAGATACAGGAAGCTGATGCCTCTTACACTTCTACCATCAGTGATCAGGAGAGAGTTCAACTTCTGGGCTTTGCTAGCAGTAAGTGGGTATTTATTTAGTATTTAAAAACACAGTTGTAAAAAAAGTTAAAAAACTTTTACACCTCTTCTTTTAAAGGCCAGCCTCATGAGTTCAGCACCCTTTAGCATAAAATGCCCCACAGCATCTGGAATATTCCCCATTGCTTACCTGAAGAGACTGGGAAAGATTTTTGTCTTCCACTTGAAACATGTCAAAGCTCACACAGAGCTGCTGCTGCTGCCAGACAGTATCTGTGGAAAGACAAGGATGAAGGGAGAAATAAAGAGCTGCTGCTGTCAGCAGAATTCAGATGTGTATGGGGAAGAGTCAATGCATCTCGTAGCTGCAGAAGACAGGGTCTGAGTTTTCTTTGTTTTTCTTGAATAGCAGACTTTTTTTTTCACATTTCTAGCTCCTTTTTCGCAACCAATGCCAGAAAGAAATCTCACATTACAAAATTCACATAGAAAATGATGTCTTGTCTATCTCAGAAAAAAGTGGAAAAACCCATTTGAAATTCAAGTATACTTTTGGTATCTGCTAGGTGGGCTCTGCACTGAGTGGTAGAATCATAGAATCAATTAGGTTAGAAAAGACCTTTAAGATCAAGTCCAGTCTTTACCTCAGGACATTATAGCCAAAAAGGTCATTCCTTTGGAAAGGGCCAAAGCTCCAGCAAGGAAGGGAGGACATGGAGGAATTAATGAGAGCTTGGGCATGCTGGAAAAATGTGTTCCTGGGAGGAAGTCATGTGGAGGTCTAGTGCTTTAAACTAAGGGGAGATCTATATTAGACAGTAAGAAGAAGTTCTTCCCTGTGAGGGGGGTGAGGCCCTGACACAACTTGCCCAGAGAACCTGTGGCTGCCCCATCCCTGGTAGTGTTCAAGGCCAGGTTGGACGGGGCTTGGAGAAACCTGGTCTTGTGGAAGGTGTCTGGGCCCATGGCAGGGGATTGGAACTGGATGAGCGTTATGGTCCCTTCCAGACAAAACAATTCTGTGATTCCTTACTCTTGCCCAG